AAGCGGTGGGAAAAAAGGAAGTAACAGGGGGGGGGGGGGGGACAGCCTTTCTGCAACAACAGTGGCATAAAGATGGTTTAATGCAAATGTTGGGACCGTGATTTTAAATATGCATTGCATATGTTTTTAACAAGTTGGCTAGTGAATCTTGTCTGCTAGTGTAAAAGCTGTAAATACAAGCAGCTATATATATATATTTTTTTTTTTTGTACTTTCATCATATTGTTTATTAGCAGTATATAAAAAGTTTTAGTAATGAGTGTTACACACATTTAGTGCTGGGTTGTAACAGATGTTACGTAATCTGGAATAAATAATCAAATTACCAAAACCTAGTACTTGTAATTAGATTGTGTTTCAAATACACATAATCAGATTACTGTTACTTTTTAATGATTGCATAGATTCATGTTTTCAATTTAAAAAAAATTTTTTTCATTTGAAATATTTTTGAATCAATGTACTTGTTTTTCATGGGTTACTATTTCTTTATTAAGGTTTTGATAATCAAATTAATTGTCGTCTTCTGTGCATTTTTGTCCAAAAGAACAAAAACAAAACAAAAACCACAATATAATCTTTAAATGAATAGTTTAGCCATGAAACTCTACTTGCGTTCTAATCGGTTCATTCAATTCAATGTTTCCAGCCAATCACATTCAAAATGTGATTTTTTATTTAATTTTTTTATTATAATACAGGCACTTTTTCTGAAATTCTCAATGCTGATACCGCTGTTAGAAACCTGACAAACATCTACAGGATTTCTTTGAATTTATCAGGTTTAATTTGTTTATCTTCTTTAACTTGCATAATTACCCTTAGAGGTCATGAAGCATGCTGACGTTTAAATGTGTTGATATTTACATAACAAATAAAAGTGTGTCCAATAACATTAGTTTTGATGCATTATCATAAATTGTAATTATTGTGATGCATTGTGGTATTTCTAGTTTATGTTAACTAACATCAGGGAATCATTCATGAGCATGCAAACGTGTTAAAAATTATATACATTTTAGGTTTAAAGGGATAGTTCACCCAAAAATGAAAATGTGATGTTTATCTGCTTACCCCCAGGGCATCCAAGATGTAGGTGGACTTTGTTTCTTCAGTAGAACACAAATTATGATTTTTAACTCCAGCCGTTGCAGTCTATCAGTCGTATAATGCATGGCAATGGTAACAAAATCTATGAGAGTAAAAAAAATATGCACTGACAAATCCAAATTAAACCCTGCGGCTCGTGACGACACATTGATGTCTTAAGACACGAAACCATCGGTTTGTGCCAGAAACCCAACAGTATTTATATCATTTTTTACCTCTAATACCCCACTATATCCAACTGTATTTGTGCAGTCACCACTCCCGAATGAGTTCGCACGAGAGAACGTAATCTTTTAGTTTTAAGTCAGTTTGAACAATCCGGATAAGTGCAAGTAAGTACCATTTTGATTAGCCGTCGTACCTACAATGACTGTGCACTGTGTAAACAATGAGTGACGTATACGCGCGAGAGATCACTTCCGGCGCTTGCGTAAACTACGCCAGAGCGCGTACACACCTCTCGCACCGGATGCCGTGCTCGCGCTCAAAGACAGCTGGACATAGTGGTGTACTAGAGGTCAAATATGATATAAATACTGTTCGGTTTCTCTCACAAACCGATGGTTTCGTGTCTTAGGACATCAATGTGTCGTCACGAGCCGCAGGGTTTAATTTGGATTTGTCTGTGCATGTTTTTTTTACTCTCATAGATTTTGTTACCATTGCCATGCATTATACGACTGATAGACTGCAACGGTCGGAGTTAAAAACCATCATATGTGTTCTACTGAAGAAACAAAATCACCTACATCTTGGATGCCTGGGGGTAAGCAGATAAACATCAAATTTTCATTTTTGGGTGAACTGTCCCTTTAAATATTTAGAGGGACTTCAAGTAAATATTTTAAGTCAAAGGGGTTCAGCTGACAAAAATATTTGGAAATCCCTGCATTAACCACTATTAATGAAAACAGCAATGAGATTGCATGGGCAAACTCTTCCAGGATTGAAATTAAATTAAATATATATGTAGGAAATGTAGTTTATAGTGCACAGTCACCTTAAAAGTGAAATAATTTTTGTAGTGACTGGTGTGAGCAATTCCACAAAATAAAATACATTTTTAGAAAATGTAAAAAAAATAAAAATTCAGGGAGAACCAATAAACTATTTATTAATTTACTGTGCATCAAGCGCATTTATACAGCACATTTCCCACATGCTGGTAATTCAGTTTTGCTTCAAATTTATTTAGGCTTGGTGTTTATAATAAATGTTGTTTATAGAATGACTATAATTGGTTTACTTTATATTTTTCATTCTTGTTCTAAATTTGAAGGATTGTTTTGTGGAGTGAGGGGAACTAAAATACATGTTTATTGTCTTTATAATTTTTGTAAATGTTTAATTTGATTTACCGGTTTTGCACATTATTTCTAAATGTAATATGTTACTTATGCACAGCGCCTTTTATTTCTCAACAGTGCAATTTTGACCTGGCATGACAAATTCAGGTGCAGCTTTTCTTCCAGAAAACACAGTAATATAATAACAAGTACTTGGTTTTAGGAATCTGATTATATATAACCAGTCACTACCGTGCAGTACAGACATTATGCCAACTGGAACACAACCTGTAGCAACAAACTCTGTGTGGTGGTCCTTTTTCCATGAATGCACTGATTTTGATCCAAAAAGACATAAGAGAAAATGCAGTATGTCGCTGACAAACTCCACACCCATTCCAAGGGCAACTTTGGAGGATACAGGCATTGTTTCACAAGCTCCTTTTTACCAACAGACTGGATCTCAAGAGCAGAACAATATACAAGGACAGCAGCAAGAAGGCTTTCTTCATCATTGCAATCAAAGAGACGTTCAAATGAATGCTTTTCCCCCCATCTATGAACACCATACACATCTGAAACTAAACTGATCATGCTTTCCATGTAACAATCCAATAATGACCACACTATGACTCAGGGCCAAACACTATAAGGGAAGGATGCTAAGATTTCCCCTATAGGTCTCTTTCACATGACTCACATTAGGCCTTCAACACAATGCTGCTTTGACCTCCACGTCAACGACAGTGTTACAGAAAGGCCTTGCAGTTCCGCCTGTATGCGTGGTGACAGCAGAAGAAACACTACGTGTCCACAAACTGCATCCCAGTGTAAATGCATGTCATTGTCTTTCTATAATAACCTGAAACAACCAAACATATAAAGTGAACCCGGATTCTTGCAAACCACCCAAAGTCAGTGTCGCCCACAGGCTGACAGACACAATAAGTGAGTGGCACATGAATGTTGTTTTGCAACGTTCATGACAACACAAGCTGCATGAATCTCTCAATCAATGGAGATATGCCAGCTTTTGTTTCTCGCCCGCATTGTCTCAGCTGCAACCTCATATGTCGACCATACAACTAGTACACAAGTAAAACTCTATAGCCCTAATATATGGATTTATCTTTCATCACTGCCCACGTATTGACATATCAGAGGAACATGCCTCCTCACTGTGGACTGCATACATACAAGCAAACCACATGATTAAAAAAGTGGATATTTATACTAATTTATCATAATTTTAGCATGCACACAGTTAAGTAAATAATAAGGACTTACTGCAGGGTTGCACAAAAAAATTAAAGTGACGGCATGATATGGTTTAGTGTGATTGTCCAATCGCGCAGGAGCGTCACACTGAAACCTGAAGTGCACATTTTATTAATCTGCATCCCATCAAAAGCTTGATGTTTACCCCTGAATATACTCATATTAAATTAGTATTATTATATTTTACACTGAAAGAGATTTGAGGTGGTTGTAAAAAGCAAACCCAAGTATGAACACCAAATATTGAGTTTTTCCCCAAATTTTGCATAAATAAAATATACATATTTTTTTTCTATGCAAAAGCACTGCTCAACAAAATCACCCCACTAACTCCAGAATTATGCAGTCTCTGTAAAATTAAGTCATTCAAATTCCTGTATTCTTTTCATTTTGCAATAAATAAATGTAATTTTTCGCCAGCTCTGTCTCCTTGGAATGTAACTCGCCATTCGAGTGGATCATTATAAACTCATCAGTAGTCATTGGCTGGCCCTCAAAAGGTCAGCAGCCACTGGGGTCAAAGTTCAAAACTGCTTGAACTTTGACCTGGGAGTAACACTATAGCTTCAGCATCGAATGCATTGCAAAATGCTGAAGTGAGTCTTTACAGTTGTGGTATTAGGTGAGAAGATGAAAATGATGCATTGGCTTGCTAAACATGATTTCTAGATGTCACAGCACCTGTCACACACATTCACAGGCTTCATACGAGCTTACCTGATTTAGTACAGTAATCTCATCTGCATCCACAATGGTGGACAGCCGGTGTGCAATAAAGACAGATGTTCTGTCTCTCACCATCTCCTTCACAGAAGTCAGAATATGCTGGGAAGAAAATGAGGCAAACGTTTGAAAAACGTTGCTTCTCTTTTATCCTTCCTCCTCTGAATGAATCTGCAAGGCTGAAAAAGCTTTCAAGATGTTTCGTTAAGAAGCCGCCCGCAACATATCCCTGCAATAACAAGCACTGATATGATTGACAGGATTTATATGAAGACCTTCTGACAATAAGATACATTAAAACACTGTCGAAAGCCAACAGAGCAAACACTTCCTTGACTATAATAAGGCATAAAGGCTTAGTGTAAATATCAAATGAAAAGTGTTCTCAAAGCAACAGGGGAAAACCAGCAGCTTTGAGCAGAAATTCAATCTTTAAATATCTGTTGGTGAAGGTGGTTAGATCTACACTGCTAAATAGTTCAAAAACTAGGCAGATAAACCAAACTAGGTTTAGTCTTTTAGCACACAAAAGGAGCAAAAACATACTCCAATCTGTAGGGTTGGGTATTGTTTGAATTGTATCGATTCCTAGTTTTGATTCCAATAAGATAAAAAAATCCAATATAAAAAATTTAAAAAAGTCAAACATTTATTTCTGAGTCTTTTTGCAAGGCATTCTGTTGCAGCTTAATAACATGATAGAAATCAGCAGCCTACAGAACACTTACAAGAGGAACTTTTGCCTACGCTTTTAACAAAAATACCACCGCAACAACAACTAGACTTACATAAATTTCAAATATTAAAGTGTTAAAGACGGCTGTGTTTATGATGATATACTGACATAGTTTTCTGCAGACTGGTCGATAAATATGACAGAAGTCAGTTCCGGCCCGGGACAACCTTCTCTGCAGTGAAATGCACGGAACGGTTGGAGAACGGACACAAACCGGGAACCCGGACCGAGACCGCTGTTCTCTGCGCTTCAGACGTGTGCGCTGAACGCAAACAAGGCACAAGTTTACAAGAGGAACTTTTGCCTACGCTTTTAACAAAAATACCACCGCAAAAACAACTAGACTTACATAAATTTCAAATATTAAAGTGTTAAAGACGGCTGTGTTTATGATGATATACTGACATAGTTTTCTGCAGACTGGTCGATAAATCTGACAGAAGTCAGTTCCGGCCCGGGACAACCTTCTCTGCAGTGAAATGCACGGAACGGTTGGAGAACGGACACAAACCGGGAACCCGGACCGAGACCGCTGTTCTCTGCGCTTCAGACGTGTGCGCTGAACGCAAACAAGGCACAAGTCCTTTCCATTCCTGCACTTAAACAGTTTAAAATCACATTACAATGCGAACTAGGCCTGGGCGATAAAACGGTATCGATATTTATCGACGGTACACCTTCTTCGATAACGGTATAAAATGTTTTCGATATAGCGCACGATATAGGCACGTGCTATGAGTGACTCAGACAGCACACACAAACACGAACACATGCTGAGTGCTGTGCCTGCCTGTGATGAGGAGATTGTGAATACAAAAAAATTTATATTAGTCAAATTTAAAATAAACATTTGTATTTGAATGTTAGGAGTGGGTCAGGGAGCGTCTTCAGTGGAGCACGAGATGCGGTGATGATGATGTAAGTGACGTGGTAGTTTAATGTTTTGTTAGTCTAGCCCACGAGACGCGCCGCTGCTGCGTTATTCATTCAACAATATTAGAGAAATATAGAAGCTCAATGCGGAGAAGATCTTGATTAGGTTAAAACCATATTCAGCGCATTTTTAGACGGACAAATATGACTGCTGCACTCGCGTCACACGAGAGATATAGAAAGCCATGCAAAGTTAAAACAGTTTAAACTTTTAGAAAACACGTCGCAAATTTGTGGAGGTTTATTGCTTTTCACTGCGTCTCATATGTTTTTAAATGCAATCTCCATGATGGGCGATTCAGCTCTTTGTATTAAGCAATGCATGAATACATGATGCTGTTTTGTTCATAATTGTTTATGCAATTTACGAAACTATGTTTGATTTATATGAGTTAATTTAGACGTAATGCAGGTTTTTTTAATAGACATTTAAACACAAAACAAAAGTTTCCTTCAGACCTATTTAATCTGCATATAAAACATTAGACATTAGATATTTGTTTCATTTGTATTGTGTTTGTTAAAACAAAAAAAATTGGGTTAATTTAAAAATACAGTGGTTAAACTGAAAAAAAAAATTCTATTGCTCTTTGTTTTAAAAAAGGTCATAAAAAATGTCAATAATTATCGATACCGAACGATATGAAACATATATAGCTATATCGCCCAGCTCTAATGCGAACCCAGGGATCGTTAAGCAGAATCGAAATGCACGCGTCTTATCGAATACCCGGTTCTTGGAAATTTGGAACCTGTTCTAAAATTGAAACCTGTTCTCGATACCCAACCCAACCCTACTGAGTGGCTGGCATTGAAGAGATAGTTCACCCAAAAATAAAAATCTGCTGTTAAATTTACTCATTCTCAGGCCATCCAAGTTCTAGTTGACGTTTTTTCTTCAGTCTAACAGTAAAGAACATTTTTAGCTGAAACTTTGGTCCTTGATGATTCATAAAATGCAAGTACATGCAAAGCATATCAAGGAACACTAAATTAATCCCCGTGGCTCCTGATGATATATTACGAAGTGAAAAGATCGGTCTGTGCAGAAAACTAAACATTACATAACATTATTCCCTAGTTTTTATGGTTTCTCATTGTTTATGTAAAAAGATGAGCTGATGAAGACAGGTCTATTCACTTTATGCTTTACACATATAAAATATCCACATTTCACATTATTGAGTACTTTAAAAACATAATTGCACATACAGTATATCATTGCATGATTACGTAAACGAACCAGTGAACTGAACCAGTTCAGTGAACCAAACTGTCCAAAAGAATCAGTTTGTGGAAAAGAATCGCATTCCTCTGTTTGCCTGAGGCTCTGGATTACAGATACAAATGTTGAAAATAATGTTCAGTTTCTTGCTCAGACTGATCGTTTCACTTCATATGACCACAAAATATCATCAGGAGCCACAGGTATTAATTTTGTGTTCCTTGATACATTTTTGGGTAAGCTATGCTTCTAAAGGGGTCACGTCTTGAGGCACATTTAGTTGATCTTTTAAGTGTTTGATGTGCTATAAAAACATTGATCGTTTTTTTCATTTATTGAAAATAAAACAGCAAAAATGACTGAATTTATGCAACTTTGCAATGACACCTACATGAACAGATCAACAAGATTGACTAAGCTCGTTTTTGGCTGTGTGTAGCAACTACAGATCCTTTCAAGACGGAAACGAATGCCAGTAGTTTCATTTCAACAGCAACAACAAACGTTCAGTCTGATCTTAATGATTTGAGTGGCACATTTCAACACAGATTGTTGCAGCTTTAAAAAAAGGCAGTTAATTAAAACAAAGCACAAAACTCATTGCGATTATTGGATGGCAGGCACGCTCGAATACCCGGTTCTTGGAAATTTGGAACCGGTTCTAAAATTGAAACCTGTTCTCGATACCCAACCCAACCCTACTGAGTGGCTGGCATTGAAGAGATAGTTCACCCAAAAATAAAAATTTGCTGTTAAATTTATTCACTCTCAGGCCATCCAAGTTCTAGTTGACTTTTTTTCTTCAGTCTAACAGTAAAGAAAATTTTTAGCTGAAACTTTGGTCCTTGATGATTCATAAAATGCAAGTACATGCAAAGCATATCAAGGAACACTAAATTAATCCCCGTGGCTCCTGATGATATATTATGAAGTGAAACGATCGGTCTGTGCAGAAAACTGAACATTATATAACATTATTCCCTAGTTTTTATGCTTTCTCATTGTTTATGTAAAAAGATGAGCTGATGAAGACAGGTCTATTCACTTTATGCTTTACACATATAAAATATCCACATTTCACATTATTGAGTACTTTAAAAACATAATTGCACATACAGTATATCATTGCATGATTACGTAAACAAACCAGTTCAGTGAACCAAACTGTCCAAAAGAATCAGTTTGTGGAAAAGAATCGCATTCCTCTGTCTGCCTGAGGCTCTGGATTACAGATACAAATGTTGAAAATAATGTTTAGTTTCTTGCTCAGACTGATCGTTTCACTTCATAAGACCATAAAATATCATCAGGAGCCACAGGGATTAATTTTGTGTTCCTTGATACGCTTTTTTTATTCTCAAAAACATGCAGCCGCTGACAAGAATTTTATGAATCACCAAGGAGCACGGTTTCAGCTAAAAATCTTTCTTTACTGTTTTACTGAAGGAACACAGTCCTACATCTTGGAGGCTTGAGGGTGAGTAAATTAACAGCAAATTTGCATTTTTGGGTGAGCTATGCTTCTAAAGGGGTCACGTCTTGAGGCACATTTAGCACATTTAGTGTTTGATATGCTATAAAAACATTAATTGTTTTTTCATTTACTGAAACTAAAACAGCAAAAATGACTGAATTTATGCAACTTTGCATGAACAGATCAACAAGATTGACTAAGCTCGTTTTTGGCTGTGTAGCAACTGCAGATCCTTTCAAGACGAAAAAACGAATGCCAGTAGTTTCATTTCAACAGCAACAACAAACGTTCAGTCTGTTCTTAATGATTTGAGTGGCACATTTCAACACAGATTGTTAATGTGAAAATGATGCAGCTTTAAAAAAGGCAGTTAATTAAAACAAACAAAAAGGAAAAATATATATATATATTTATATTTAATTTGACAGCAAACTCCCAGCTAGTGTGTTTTCATGTGTATAGCCGGCTACAGACTAGGGCTGTCAAAATGGCTGAAAAACTAAATTCGAATTTTGTACTTAAATATTATCAAAATTCGAATTATATTCAAATTTAAAATGCATAATTTCCGTTAGGGCGAAGAAAATCTTTTGTATTCTCTCCTGAGGCCACAAGAGGGCGCATCGAGCAAAATATTACTAATGCACGTTTCTTCAAAGCATAAGATAACATGACTATCTGTGAAAAAAGTGCATAATGTTTAATATAATGTTTATAAACCAATTATAATTAAGTTGCTTAAACAACTATAAACAAAACAGCAGCATGTATGTATGCATAGTTTAATACAAAGGGCGTAAAGCTAATCACACAGAGTATATTTTTCATTTAAAAACATGAGATGCAGTGGGATGGGGAAAAACACGCCATTAAGTCTCGATAGGTTTTTTTCAAAGTTGAACTTGCGTTCATTTTACATGGCTTTCTAAGCATGTGGCTCTTTTGTGCGAGACGTGAGTGCAGCGGTGATAGATGTCCCTCTAGAAAATTTACGAAATATGCGTTCTGTGTGAATGGCTTGGTTTCAGTTTTGATGTAAACAAGATCTTCTCCGCATTGATGTTCTCTTATCCCACAATATTTTGAATGAACAACGCAGCAGCGCCGCATCTAGTGGCTTCAACTAGATAGGCTAACAAAAGCATTATAATGCAACGACACTTACATCGTCATCGCATCTCGTGCGCCACTGATAAAGCTGCCTCCTTAACGCACAGCTAAAATTCGAATGCAGAATTTGTATTTTAAATTCGATGAATATTCGAAATTCAAAAAAAAATATAATGCAACGACACTTACATCGTCATCGCATCTCGTGCGCCACTGATAAAGCTGCATCCTTAACGCACACCTAAAATTCGAATGCAGAATTTGTATTTTAAATTCGATGAATATTCGAAATTCAAAAAAATTTTTGGCAGCCCTACTACAGACAGACAGCACTGTGCAATCATGTTTTCATGCCCATTTCATACCTATTATTGAGGAATCTACTATTTCATTGACTCATGGATCTAAGGCTCTCACCTCTTCAGTGATCGAGTCTAGTGAAGACGTGGCCTCGTCATACAGCAAAACGGGAGGGTTCTTAAGGATGGCCCGTGCGATGGCCACACACTGCTTTTCTCCACCTGTCACAAGAAAAACCCGCTCTAGATCACTCAAGAAGAAACCCTTCAGTTCCTCTGTCTTCCTCTCAGAAACACTGAGGGCTGAGGTCTGTACCTGAGAGCTTCAGGCCTCGCTCTCCGACCTGCGTGTCGTATCCATGAGGCATTCGGAGAATGGCGTCATGGATTCCAGCTAGTTTGGCCACACGGTAGACGTCCTCTGCTGTGGCGTTGATGTTACCATACAACAGATTGTAAAATATGGTATTGTGGAAAAGCACGGCGTCCTGAAATTATATTTACATTTGATTCTCATCCAGCATGGCATAAAAGTGATATTCATAGCCTTAAATTAAGTCTGATTATGGTTCCCATGGTACCTCACAGATCATTTATAAGAAGATATTTATTTTAAAAAAGTAAGAAAATAATGTTCTCTAACGAGGTGATAATTACATCTGATGATTCTCAGAATTAGAAGCAAAGCCTCACCTGCGGCACGACGCCCACAGCTTTCCTCAAGCTCTCCAAACTAACATCACGAATGTTCTGGCCTGCGATGAAGATGTTGCTCCGCTGTGGCTCGTAGAAACGAAAGAGCAATCGGACAATCGTGCTCTTTCTAAAAACATAAAATATATCATGTTTAAGCAGTCAAATTCTATTTTCTGTCCTTCTACTTCTATTGCATCAAAGGGCCTGTTTACACCTGGTCACTTCATGCGTTTTCTCTGAGCAGATAGCTATCCGATCGTGAAAAGACCAGGTGTAAATGCCCTCCGAAACGTTTTCAAGACTTGCATTTAAATCCGATCACTCAAACCCCTTCAGAAGGTGGTCTGCGCCACATTCCAGATGAAACTGGACAAGTGTAAATGCATCTGGTTGTTTAAACCACATATGCAAATTTTACTCCTCCCAAATTATTCAAATATAGGAATAAGCCCCAAGAAGCCGTGGTTTACAGTGAATTTATAACAGCTAAGGGGCATTGTTAGGCGTGAAGCGGAGTGCCTAAAACCCCCTTAGCTGTTATAAATTCACAGTAAACCACGGCTTCACGGTGCTTATTGCTTTTATTAAACGGTTATTCAATGTAGCACGGTTTCACAAAATAAAACAAAGGAAATAAATATAATGATATTAATAAAAACATTATTCTTCCGCCAAACAATGTAGTTCTTCAGAGTTGGTTGTGGTTTCAACAAAGTAGCTGCTGAGCAACACACAGACGTAAACAAAAGGTGTGTGTTTGTAGAGTAATTTACAACAGCTTTGAATGTGGCTCAGCCAATCAGAATCAAGGACCGGAACTCTCCGTTTTATAATAATAAACATGTGAGTGTGTGTTATAGGCTATATGGCATGTTATACTCAGATACGGCAGTGCTAATGCAACAAGCATCACCGCGGATGAGTAGCTGAGTATCTCTTCAGCAAGCCGACGCGCAAACAGCCACAAATGAAACTGAAAGGAAGATGCAGATGCTCAACACACAATCATCTTCATTAAAAGTAGTGAGACTAACCTATCTTTCCAGTGCTAATGGAAATGGCTCTCTCCTGTTCCGCATCTTGATCTTGAAATTAGCTGATCGTGAATAAAATGCAGCCGTTATCTGTTGCTTTCGTTAACGTGAACTCTGTTAAATTTGCATATAGCGCGGGAATTGAAGATCGAATTTATATCCGCTTTGCGAAGACACATTTATGTGGCCAGGTATAAATGGAAACGTTTTAACAAATCAGATAGATATCCGATCAGTGACCAGGTGTGAACAGACCCAAAGTGTCAGTGTGAAAACTGGTCATTTACCTGAAGACTAAATAAATATTATATGAGCGGTTTCATGACAGACTTGTTATTCTGGAAACTTTAATACAATGTAGGATGTGTAATTCAATAGGGTCATTCCGTGCCAACTTAACCAGAGGCCCCGGCTCAAATGTTTTCTGGTGAAAGAAATGCATCAATAAAGAAGAAAAACAACAAATTAAATGTCATGGATGTATATTTACTGAGTAAGCCACTGTTTTGTAGAGGCGGGTCAAAATGGCAATTTTCACCTGCGATTCAGAACCAAATTACAGAGTAAAAATAACTTCAGAAAGATGGCAGCATCATGCTATTTTCACACAGAGATGGTTAGGTCTATTAGTAAAATCTGTTGACGTTAGCAATCTTTGATATACATTAATGACATTTAATATTTTGTCTTTACATCTATACATTTTTATCTTTCTTTAGAAAAAAAAAATTCAGAAAATGTAAAATTGGAGACAGGGAAGTGTCTGAAATTTGTTTGATTTGACACAGAATGACCCAATAGTCATTTTTAGCAATTCATATATTTTTAAAAAGTATATCAGGACCTTAAAATGTTGGTGTGCAGTTGCTAATAAACTTATTCCCTACAAATGAAAGTAAAAATGTCTTAAAGGGGTCATATGATGTTGCTAAAAAGAACATTATTTTGTGTATTTGGTGTAATGAAATGTGTTTATGCGGTTTAAAGTTCAAAAAACACATTATTTTCCACATACTGTACATTATTGTTTCTCCTCTATGCCCCGCCTTTCTGAAACGCGTCGATTTTTACAAAGCTCATCGGTCTGAAAAGCGAGGTGTGCTGTGATTGGCCAGCTATCCAGTGCGTTATGATTGGCTGAATACCTCAAGCGTGAGACGAAAATGTTACGCCCCTCACCATACTGTGATG